CTGTGGATTATATTTCAAATTTTAGTATTATACATTATTTAATTTCTTAATGTAAAAGTAAATATTAAAAAAACACAGTTAAGCATCGATTTTGCGTGTCACTTGGTATGTTCAATGCAGCACTGGTTCAAATTAGATATTTGTGATGTCAAAATACTAAGTCTATAGTTTCGTACGAATTAGGAAAAGAAAAAAAAAGGCATGAAAAAAACATTATTTAACAAATCTTAAGACTTAATAAAAAAATTGGATATTTTGAGTTTAAAAGTAGTGTAATGCTTGCTGATAATCTGCCAAATTTTATTAACATATGCTTACTAATTTAAACGTTATAGCATGAAAACTATAACAAGTACAAAATGATTATGAGGTCGGTCCCAGTGGCAGAGCCTGTGCTGAAAGAGTTAAAAGACATGTTTTTCTATTAATAATAATCATTATATATTAAACATGGACAAAATGTGTGTGTGTTTGTATACTTATATATTTATTTATTATGCTTTTAATCATTACTTATTTTTTCATATATATTTGTTCAATCCAAGTCTAGTTTTGAGTCAGTCGATATACACACTCTTGACCCAAATGTTTAATATGATACATGATGCTAGTCACAAATCACAATTCTCAGAGTCAATATTTTAAATGCTACTGAAATTTGAATATAAGGTTAAAGATTTAAAAACTGTACTGTTTATTTATAAAAAAAATAAATACAGTAATGCATTATTGTAGTAACAAGATCCAAGTACAAACAATAAAGCTATACACTGTATTATCATTCAAACAAAAAAATTGTACTTAAAACAAGAATCATAGACAGGAATGGTTGTTAGGTATAATTTATACAATCTTATATTCAAAAAAATAAAAAATTCTGAAAACACTTACCTTCCTCTTAGTTTTACAGCCTCTTCCCACTGAAAATCAGCCATGCACTTTGAAACTCTTTTTGTCTAAACAGATAAAATTGTGTTCCACTAAGTTAAAGTAAGTTTATTCTAGCACTAACATAACATTTACATTCACACAATATAATAAAATATTTTACAGAAATGAATAAGATATAGTATAATCTTTTATAAACTATGTTCAAAAAAGAATAAAAGATTAATAGTATCTACAAATTAATTTTCCACGAGATGATCAACCAATTAATAATTAAACTAACCTTCTCCACACATTCCATCAGAGGCACTCTAACAGCTTGATTTCCATCTAGTGATACGACACAAGCCTCAGACTCGGGAGTAGCCTCAAATAAAGCCAATACAGCCTCGGCACCCATTCTACAGCCCTTTAGAATTATAATAAATCTTACAATTACATGTGATATCAAAAATGCAAAACTTCGAGAATCCACCGTATCTTTCAATGCAAAACACCAGAAGTATATTAAAATGTTTAGTAACAGACTACAATCACCAGCAGTACTTCTTCACCACTTCTTTGACTACCAACATGCTATTCCCTCATCAAAACCACTTCTAGCATCTTCACTTAAGCTTTCTGGAACTTATTCCCAGCTTGCAGTTGATCATTAATGCCATTAAACATCTATAAAAATAAAAACAGTTAACTAACTAATGATTTTTCTATGTTAACTTACTAAAACTCTGTCAAAAGCTGATGGATATCCACCACGCTGCACATGGCCAAGAACAGTTATACGAGAATCTTGTTTTAGGTTGTTGAATAAAACCTACAAAATAAACAACAAATGTAAGCTATTTAATAAAAAAATACATTATACTGTTGAACAACTTTGAACAAAATAAGTCTTTTCAGATATAAGCAAGCATAATTATCTTAGCTCACACTTTGTATTTCTAAATAATAATGAAGACAACAATTTCTTGAGCCACATAGCTTTAAAAAATACAATACTTAATTAACTCTACAGCACCCAGATGGGTGCATTCTGTCCCAAAGGAAAACCTACAACATTGAATTAAAAAGAAATTATAAAATATTAATTTGTAATAATTATTCCACACATTAAAAACCAAATACTTTAGGGTTGAAATTTATTTAATAATAAAAGTTTTACTAATTTAATTATATATAATTGTTTTTAAATTGCATTAATTTGATCATAAACTAGTGATATCTAAACAGTAATGAAAGCTCTTTTTCTGTTCTTTTCAACTATATAAGCTAATATGGCTTCCAGTTGCATTATGATAGGAGAATAAATGTTTATCATAGAAAAAGATGAAGTAGCCTTAGTTAGATCACTTTGCACTTGACCTTATCAAGTTTCATTTCATTGACAAAAACCACTGTTGTTACAGCCTAAGTAGTGGCTTGAATGGACAAAGAAAGTCAGAAAAAAAGAGTAAAAAACATAAATAAATATAAAGCGGTTTTAAAACTGAAATACATATACATAAAATGTTGGTATGGTAAAAAAAAGTATTTTTATTGAGAGCCAATAAAATGTCATTGAAATGTCATCCAGTGTTTTCCAAATCAAAATAAACTTAAAATACATAATTTTATAAAATAAAAGCTTTCTAGTAACATTATACAAAACGTTAGGGAGTCACAAAAATCAGTAATGAAATCTACAACAAAGGTAAACGTTTTGAAAAACATCATCATAATGAAATCTTTTCAAACTTCCAAAGCTGTAATTTCATAAAAAAAATATGACATATAAAAAAAATACTTTATTTCCAGAAGCTACATAATTTGTAGAAAGTTCATCTTAAGTTTCAAACTTTCATCCAGTAGTTCTTTGCAATGCAATAAAATAAACCATAAACAGGTATATTGAATCAACACTCTTGGGCATTTTAGTGTTAAGATATGGCAATTAACAAAGTACAATTTATTTTTTAATGCTGACCTCTGCATGTAAAAACTATGAAACTTTCTTCCCTTGAGGATGATTCTTAAAGCTTTAGATATAATTACTTCCATACAAATCTAGACTTTCAAAGTTGTTTACAGTTTTTTCTTAATCTTATTGAACCCTCAACATTTTCATAAATTCTATAAGAAAAATGAGGGGAAATAAAATAATGGACAAATATTTAAATATAAAAAAAAACTATATTACTTGATACTTAGTCTAATGATACTAAATCATATGTTTCTGAGACTCAAAGAAAACTTCACTAATTCTTCAAATTAGTGATCATAACATTTAATATATGAATTTGTTTATGTAAATCAAACCTTTTTTATCTGTTCTGCAGTGATGGGATTCCCCTGCCTGTCAATTGCTCCTTCAGCCACAATAATGATGTTCAGTCTCTGACCTAAATCTCGTTCCTATATAATAGTTAAAATTCTGGTCATGTTTTCGTTATCTATCAAAAGAAACATCAAACATCCATTATTTAAGCAACAATATCCTGCTAAAATTACTTTTTAAAACTATTTATAATAAGTTTATTGTTCAACATTTGGTCTTGTGTAAGGTTACTGAAATTGTTCTCAGAAACTTGTGGTTGGTTCAGTCACATGTTAATCAGTATTTATCCTAAACATCAATATTTTCATCACTTCATTGAAGAGAAGAAAAATATTGATGTTTAGGATAAATACTGATCAACATGTGACTGAAAATAAATTTTCTTTATTGGATATTTGATAAACAAATACTTTCTCGAGGTAAAATTTAGCAAACTTCTATTAACTTGGTGGCATATAACCTCATAAGACAAATACTGAAATTTTATTCACTCTTGTTATTGAAAACGTGATTAAGATCTTTAACAAAACTACTTTTTTTCACAATCCACTTTTTAGATAAACAAGTTTTGAAGTTAAAATAACTTATATTAAGCTATTAAACTGATAGAAAATATTAATTAAGAACTAGCACATATTAAAAAAAATACAAGTGTATTATTCACCTGTTTCAATTTTTTGCACAGCTTGTCAGGCCAATCACTTTCAGGAGGCCACTCAGGGATGAAAACAAAATCTGCCTCACTTGCTAGAGCTCCCACTAGGGCAAGATACCTGTAATAATTACACAATAAATATATGTATGAAGAGTTAAAAATTAGTTCTAATGTTTACAGACTAACAATTTCTCAATAATTCATAGAAGCTCCTTATAGATCAGTATTTTAAGTACATTTTTAAAGCTATTTATGAACAAAGGTTATTAGGGATCCATGCCTTTGTTCTTTGCAGGGTTCCTAATAACATATGTAGAAAAAATTAAAAATACAAGCTCTATTGCAATTAATTCAACAAATTACTGCTGAAGTTTTCAATGTATTTTACACAGAAAATGAGTAATCTAACCTGATTTCTTTGACTGGTTCTTTTAAGTCAGTGTTGTAGCAGGCTAACAAAGATAAAATTACTCAATATGATACAGTATGTGACCAGTATGAAACAATTTGGTAATCTAAAGGTTGACTTTTAAAACAACATGGTACTGGTAAGTATTACACTTTTTGTTTCTGTTTGAGGACTGGGTAACAATATTACTTAGTTTTTATCAATCTCTTTATCTATATTTGAAAATTGTCCACATACACACACTCATATACATACATATATACGTGTGTGTCTATATATATAATGTTTATTATCTTTATATGGTAGTTTGGTTTCTGCCATTAACAGATTAGCTAGCTCTACCCCAGCAATACTGATTTTAGTGCTTCCTTAAGTTAAATTTCCACATTTTTTTAGTCTTTAACTATAATTTGTGCATGTTAAGCTTATTATAACTATGTTTTCAAGCTAGAGGATAAGATTATGAGATTGACTGGTTGTGTAGTTGCAACATCACTCCTCAATCTACTTGGCACATTACTTGAACATTAATGAAATATTGTACACATGTGAAATAATTTACTTTAGCTCAGCCACAATTAAACTTGGTGAGATTGGTGTTTTCAACTAATTAAATATTAATAATGTGTTTTTTTTAAAAGTTCCCATATATTCTTAGCCCTGCTAATATTAGTTATGTTCAGAACAGACTACTTTTCACATATTACTACTTTACAATTTAATTACTTCACTGTTACTGGTTGGTTGACCAAGATACCATTTACTGTCAAAGGGCAAAAAAATACATGGGAACCTTCCAAATTTCACTTTTATCTAAATTCTAACATTAATAACAGTTTATATTTCCTTCATTATAATGTTGTTTTTTTCAGTACATTTGAAGTTGTTTTTAAATTTTAATTCACTAACTTACTCATATGACTCAATGAAAACAAATAAGTTGATCAACATATTTTGTCTGTAAAATCTCCAAGACAAATTTTACAAGTACTCCAAAGTAAAAACTGCATGACATGATACCAAGACAGACCACTAAACTTTACAACTGGACTTTGCCTACAAACTTGGATATATTAATACAAAGTTTAACATAAAAGATATGAAATTTTACAAACTTTGCAAGTAATGACAACCTTTATTCCGATTACTACATAGAAACTGGCACTCAGCCAGCAATAAACGAAGTGGAAGGTACAGGTAAGACATGTATTACAAAAAAAAAAGCAACTGCTCAGTCTTTTGTGTTTACGTAAAAACAGCAATTCTTTTTTTTTTATTTTATATCAGAAAAAAACCTTGAGAATTAAGGGAAGGAACATTGTGAACCTAACAAATAAAAGGAAAACTACAAATAACACAATAAAACTAATAATTAAGCTGTATTTACACTGAATCCATCTAACATTACAAATGTTCGAAGTGTCCGCATTAAGGAAATAGATATTGAAAAGTCATATGTAATAGAACAGAATAAGTATCTTTAATGCTTTTACTGAAGATCACTATGGCTCACACAGCATATTTAATACGAACATTTTAAATGTGAAAAATAATATTTCTCAAAACACACACACACGCAACTTAACTTGAAATATTTTGATAGATAATAATACACAAGTTAGGCTTCTTTGTGTGAAAATATTTTATAAGAGGACTGTATTACCATTTAAGCTAAAGAGTTCAGTTTCATTGTGTATTCACAAACAGCAAGAAACTATCTGATGATGCTGGATTCTTTTATTAGAGGATTGTACAATGTTTTGATTAAGTAATACATATATCATCAGATACTTTCTTGGTGCTTGTGGGTACATGATGAAGCTGGACTCTGTGGCTGAAACATTGTACAATTATCTTATAATAAGTTCTCACCCAGAAAAGCTAGAATTCGTGTATTATTCATACACAGGAATTCTTTACTGTTATTTTATTATGATACAGAGTTAAAGCAAACATTGCTAGGAAAAAAAACTTACCCACACTGTCTTCCCATAACTTCCAGTATAAATGTTCTCTGGTGGCTAAAACAGATACGAAAAAATTACTGATTCATTTGTAAAATATATATAATACCTGCTTTATTGTAATATAAAGTGAAGTCAAAATTATGGCTACATATTTAGTATGCTTTATCAACAAAATACTCTAAACATACAAACATAATGTTATAAATTATATACTAAACTCAAGCCAGTTCTACTACTAAGGCTAATTGTGTTAACAAGAATGACTAACTGAGGTAGTATTACTTAGCAGTATTTAATCAACACAGCATGGTTGAGGGTTTAGTTATTTCAAATTTCATGGAAATTGTTTCTTTAAGGTAGATCTTCAGAGTGAAATAAGTACTCTTGATAAAGTTCCACCTACTTCAAAATGTGCTAGACTTGAAAACAGTTGAAAACTACCTGTATATGGTCATGGACAACTTTGTATTTGTGAAGATGATACAAAAGAAGAGTTGTGATAAAACATGCACCAACACATGACAAAAGAAATCAAACAGAGTATCATTAATTTAATGAATTGATGTTATCGTACCAATGCATATTACACACTGATTTCTGTAGTTTCACTTAAGTTTTTAATTTTGTTTTTGTAAAAATCATAAGTCTGCAAAACTAATCTTAATACACTGACAGTATTTCAATGCTTACCATCCTGGTTTCTATACAATATTTAGGCTCTGATTGTTTTTTGTTAAGCTCAAAGCTACCCAATGGGCTATCTTTGCTGACCTTACCACAGGTATCAAAACTCAGTTTGTTGAGTTATAAGCCTTAGGATTTACTGCTGAGCCACTTTGGGGGCTCTATTTTGGCCACCTGAAAAGTGTGCCCTAAAGGCAGTTTTTATTTAGCAACCATATGTAAAGACAAATGATTGAGAAAAAAGCAGAAGATCTTGAGAAATGACTGTTTTTCAGTTTAAGGTTGTCGTTTTTTATATTATAGTTCAAGCTATTAACTTCATATGATTTACTTTCAATATTTGGTTTAATACTACAATAATTCTTTAATTTGTGGGTTACATTTACCACGGTTTGTGATTAACCTTTGAACTAATTTACAGCAGTTACTAGTTTCACTTATTCCTCCTTGTTTACAAGCTTAACATTATTACCTGGTTATTCTCCTACCACCTTCATTCATTTTTATAAATAATTATAGTTTAGAACAAATAACCTTTCATAAGAAACATCTCCTAGTGTTCACCTAGTGTCTGTGAAATTAGCAAAATAACACTCTAAGGATACAGTGTGATTCAAGACTCTTTCCAATGTAAGGTTCAAAATGTTGATTCATTAAAATATAATGAAAACAGTTCTTGTTTACTTAATTAAATATTAGGTGTTTGGTGAAAAATTAATTCCTATTCAGGTAGATGACCATTTTCTTCTATAATCTTCAACTATAACCTAAAGGATCTTTATTACAGCAATACTTAAAAGTTAATATTTGTAGTTTTTCTGGATGCAGTTATTTTGCTTCAATAAGGATATTTTATTGTATAGCTGGTCAACTTGAAAGAAGTGAACACAGTAGAGCTACTTGCATAAATTAACAAGCTGTTTCTTCACAATGTACGAAACATATGAAAAAACTTCAACAGCTAAGATATTTTATATTATAAATTTAGTTAAATTCATCTTTTCTTTTGTTGTAAAACAAAACTTCAAAATTATAATTTATATATTATATGAGCAAAATACATTTACAAAATATTACAGTGTATAAATGCAGCCCATGTGACCAAGTTATTACCATAACTTTACATGTACATTTACTTATTATTATTACAGCTTTCATAAAAAAAAAATTCTTAACTCGTACCTATAAAATGCAGGAAATACTTTATACATTGAAACAACCTTTAAAAAGTTTTTACATTTCTTAAACACAGAATCAATTTTACTTGAGAGAGTTACATATCAGGCTAAAGCAAATTTCCGTACCTCGAAGCTGTAGTGACTATGGCATCAACAGCTTCCACAATCCTGTGGAGAGCAGAGTCTGTCCCAATAGTCATGTCAGTCCCACAAAAATCATTGTCTATAGAACCAACCATGCCTACAATGTTTAAGGTGCTACACTCAGCTTGTTTAGCTGGTGTTATTTCACCTATATAAAAAAGAAATTAATATATAATGTTCCCTTTTTTTTTCTTCTGAGAATTTACTATGATTCTTCTATATGAATTTACATCAGGTTAAATTTATCAATTGCACAGACTCAAAACATTACCCTGCCAAGTTGTCTTATAACTAAATTAATCAGTAAATTATTTCAAAAATTGTAGAAATATTCCACATAGTTTATTCATTGTAATTAGTCGAGTAAAAAATATGTTTATTAATTCAACATGATTTACAGGAAACATGAACTTACATCTTAAATAGGCAATAACCAATAATCTACACGGGTATGAGTAAAATGTCTTCTACAAGAAAAACTTTTAAACAGAAATGCTCAAATCATACAAAAAAATTTCTAACTAGAAAAACTACCAATAGAACATGATTTGAAATGTATCTTTAACTGAGAGTTTAAGCAGTAGTGGATTACCTAGTTTAATTCTTTCTACAACAAACATCAATAACACTATCTTTTTACAAATATAACCTAAACATAAATTAAATCAAGTTTCCATGTCCAATTAGAAAGAAATCTAAATTGTTCATTACCACCATGATGGGCAGAAACTAGTGTCACACAGTTCTTATTCACTTTAATACTCAGTTTCTAACCTTGTTCAACCAACTCATCAAGTAGAGAACACCATTCTTGGCGGAAAATGTTAGCACCCGTCAAACTACCATCACCACCAATAACCACCAGGTTACAGATACCATGCTTCACCAAATTTGCTGCAGCTCTTAGACGGCCTGATCTCTCGCGGAATGATTTACATCGAGCACTTCCAATCACTGTTCCACCCTATAAATAAACACAATACAAATAAACCAGTACTAATTAAAGTAGTGGCATATTAAATATACTTAATTTCTGGCATAAATATCCAAAATTTGTAAATTTAGATACAATTTTAGTGAGCCTCTAGCAGTCCAAAGCTCAACAATGATATGTTCATACTTGATACTACAGTAAAAATGTTTCTGTAATGTTACAACAACAGTAAAGTATTACTTTTATTCTTCTTTTCTGGTAAAAGTATTCTTAGTGAAATCACAATGACAAAACAGACAATATTGAATCTAATTTAATTTCTTTACATTAATTTGATTTCATGTAGCACGGTGTGTAATGTAAAGATTTTCCTGTACATCTAATTGTAGGTTTTACAGGTTTTATGTAAATTTAAGAAGTATCAGAAACTAAAGAACTTGATTTCCAAGTTACGGTTTGAAGATCGTACAACATATGAAGAACTTTGAACAATAGAAAGTTACCCGCTCATATGACGTTTGTGAATTTATTAATGGCTATAATTCATCATTGTGGTTTAATGCCTAAACTTAATATTAATTGTAGGTACATTATATTAGCCTAAATCTAAGACTCTTATCCATTGAAAGTCTGTCTGTTTCTTCTTTAAGAGTAATCTTTTTATGAAAAATTAATTACCAAACATTTTGTACAACACACACAAGAATCTAGCTAACGTACCTTGTGGATGATTCCTGAAACACCAACCCAACCTGCTTCTACGATGTTTTCTCCACCATCTACCATTCCTTGATAACCTTCCTTGATGAAGTAGACTCTAGCACCCATATATAGTCCCATTCTGACAACAGCTCGAACAGTAGCATTCATCCCTATAGTTTACTAGTACATATTATAACCTGTATCCTTATAGTGTACTAGTACATATTATAGCCTGTATCCTTATAGTGTGCTAGTACATATTATAGCCTGTATCCTTAGAGTGTACTAGTACATATTATAACCTGTATCCTTATAGTGTACTAGTACATATTATAGCCTGTATCCTTATAGTGTGCTAGTACATATTATAGCCTGTATCCTTAGAGTGCACTGATACATATTATAGCCTGTATCATTAGAGTGCACTAGTACATATTATAACCTGTATCCTTA